TAGATAGCACAAGCATTATTTCCAAGCATTATTACAGATAAGGAATGGTGCAGTGGATAGGGTGCCAGGCCCAGAGTCAGGAAGACTCATATTCCTGAGTTCAAATCGGGCCTTAGACACTTACTAGCAGTGTGACCCTGGGCAAGTCACTTTACTAGCAGTGTGACCCTGGGCAAGTCACTTCACCCTGTTTGCCTCAGTTTCCTGATCTATAAAATGAGCTGGAGAAGGAAATGGCAAACCACTCCAATGTCTTTGCCAAGAAAACCCCAAATGGGATCATGGAGAGCTGGGCATGATTGAAGAATGACTAAACAACAACAGATAAGGAAACAAACTCAGAGATGTAAGCAGGAGACAACAAAGTACAACAGAAAAAGGATTGGATTTTTGAGCCAGAGAATAGGGGCTCATCCAGATGGATCCATTTAATTCTGTATTTATATCCCCAGTGGTTGGTATATAAGAGGAGCTTAATAAATGCTTATTTGAATGATTATGTGACTGCGCCTCATTTTCCTCATCTGTATAATGAGAGGTTTAGACTTGAGGGCTTCTAAGTTTCCACAATCCTATGACTGAACTGCAAGGACTCAGCTAGTGTCAGAGATAGGAAGAAAACTCTGACAAGGGCAGAATGGAGTGGGACCATCACACCCTTATTTCTGGAGGCTAAGACTCAGTGAAGTCTAGAATTCCATTTACCATTTCTTTTGGCTGCCACATCACACTGCTGACTCAGATTTAACTTATAGCTCACTAAATCTCCAGATCTTTTCAAACAAACCCTTATCCAACCATGCCTCATCCATTCTATACTTGTGATGTTGATTTTTTTACCCCTTTTTTCTCATTTGGCAACTATGTTTACATGGAACAGTGTTTTGCTCATGTGTTGTGCGCCTATTGTCTGCCCTATATTGTTAAACAGCTGAAACAAGGGGGTAAAGTTGAGCTCCTGGGGTTGTTACTTTTGGGGTCTCTGTGATTTCTACCTGCTTGTGCCCAATTAGGGGTAGGAGTCTGAGGATGTTTCTAGTCAGATTTCCATCCATGCTTTGCTAGTGGAACATGTGTAGCAATAACTACCAGTTTTGCCTTCTGCGAGAGGGTCACATACCTACACATGAACAGGCTGTCTTCCCTGGCTAGACACGAAGGAAGGAATTGTTTCTGCTTTTGTCTTTGAATCCCTAGTGCCTATACACACGATTGCTAATTTATCTTCAATTAATTTTACATTTATGCCTATGAAATTACACCTTATTATATTCATTCTATCCTTCATGCCTTCTAAGATGTTTTTGGATCTTGACTCTATTATCCTTCTAGCTTTGTGGTGCCTGCAAATTCAATAAGCAATCAATCAATGCCCAATGCCTTTATTCAAGTCACTGACAAAAAGATTAGAAGGCATAAGATCAAGGACAGTTCTCTGGGGTACTCCACTAAAGATTTCCATCTAAATTACCTTTGATCTTTGTGTGACTTCTCTTTTGGTTCAGTCATTCAACCAATTTCAAATCCTCCCAACTTTATCATCTTCACCTGGTCCTCAAAACTTGCATGACTTAATTCAGTTTGGTTGGAGCACAGAGTGAAGGGAGGACATGAGGGAGATGGTGATATAAGATAAGGCTAAAACTATGGGGACTCTGCATCAGATTGTGGAGGACTTCAGGTAATAATCAAAGGAGTTTGAACTTGACTTAGTAGGGAATGGGGAGCCACTAAAGGCTTCTGAACAAGAGAATGGCATGACCAGATCTGTGTATACAGTGGATCACTTTGGCCATGGTAGGAAGGCTGAACTAGATAGGGGAGAGACAGTGGAGGCAGAAGGACCAGGGTTGCAACCAGAGAAAAAAGAAGAGATGAGTTATGGTGGTTGGTGATTCCATGTTGGGAGATACTGAGATGATTATGTATCATTATGATGTGAACAGCTGGAAAGCATGCTTGATTTCCTGGAGTGTGAATTTGGGATATAATGAAGGGTCTTCAAGCAGTTTTCCACCCTAACCACCCCTACTCTTTTCTGGTGATGTATGTGAAGAGGAACAATACCACTAGAAAGGAACCTAGAAACCATAGGTAAGGATTCTAAAATTGTGGGAAGGAAATGGAAAACATTAGGAAAACTGGTAGTGTTTTTGTCACAGCTATCCCTTTAAGATCTTTTAAAAGACAAAGAAAAGAGTACTTGTGGCCCAGACACTTTTAGTGATTTGCTTAAGGTCATGTAGGTTATGAGTGGCAGAGTCAATATTATAAGCCAGTTCTCCTAATTCCCAGATCATTCCAGCCCTTATTGTCCCTACCTCCCCTTTGCCTAAATTTAAAATCTGAACCATACTGTTGAGCACTTCATTAAATTCCACACTGTCTGTGTCACATTTTCTAATTATCCCAAGAGTCATAGATAACCACTTCAGAATCTCTGATCCAGCAGGAGAGATGAGAGCTGAGGACACCACTGAATAGCAAGCTGAAATCCAGATAGCTTGATTTTGCCCTCCCAGGACATCCTCCAGATAAGCCCAAACCCTGGACCTTGCAGGAATTATTGTGACTATGGGGCCTGTAAAAGACATTGTGGTGTGAGTCTAGAGGAATAGTCAGGAAGACCTACCTTCAAGTCCCACTTTTGACATATTTTGCCTGTGTGATCCTGGGAAATTCACTTTACCTTTGCAGCGTCTCTCAAATATATCTCTTTCAATATATATCAGTGGACACTCTGATACTGCCACTGCTCTAGTCCTCACTGCAGACCTTGACCATTGCAATAACCTGCTGGTGGGTCTGCCTGGCTCAAGCCTCTCCACAATCCAATTTGGCCTCCAGCCACTAAAACGATTTTTCTAAAGTGCAGGTCCAACCTTCCTACTCAAACAACCAAAACTAACAGACTCCAGTGGCTCCCTATTGCTTCTAGGAGCAAATACAAAATGCTCTGCTTGGTATTCAAAGCTCTCTGCCTTTCCAGTTTTCTTATACCTTATTCACATCCACGCCCACTTTGATCAGGTGACACTGGCCTCCTGGCTGCTCCATGAACAGGCACTCCACCTCCTCGCATTCTCTCTGGCTCTTGCCCATACCCGGAGTGCTCTCCCTCTCTGTTCTGGCAATTGACCTCCTTGGCTTCCTTTATTTCCCATCTAAAATCTCGTTGTCTACAGGAAAACTTTCTTAATTTTTATTAATTTCAATACCTTCCCTCTATAGATTATTTCTTATTTATTTTGTATATAGCTGGCTTTGCATATATTTATTTGCATGTTGTCTCCCCATTAGATTGTAAGCTCCTTGAGGTCAGGGACTGCCTTTTGCCTCTTTTTGTGTCCCCAGTGCTTAGCATAGTGCCTGGCACATAGTAGGCACTAAATAAATGTTTATCAGTTGATTGACTGATTAACCTCTCAGTGCCCCTAGGTAACTCTAAATTAAAGAGGAGTTGCTAACTTATATGGTAGAGGGAATTTCCATCCTGAGAGTCCCCTTTCCCCCAAATGATGAAATCATAGGTCTCTCTCCCTTCCCACTTCTGCCCCACAACAGGACTTGGGGGTGCCACGAGGATCAGTTTCAAGGGAGGTTTTTTGAATGACTTCAGTTTCCTCTGGTGACTTCAGTTTCCCTCATCCTTTGGCCAGAAACAATGTATTTACAGTCCAGCTGCCCTGAAATAGTCGTTTGAGTGTAATTTGATGCAGCACTGAAGTCAATTAATAGAAGAAGGGCAATGTGCGTTCCCTCTGCAGAGGAAACATTGTGCTTGTTGTCAACGAAAAGTTGTGGGATCACACAGAAGGCCAGGGGCTTCTTGTCTTCACTTGGTGTTTGCCCAATCATAGGCTCATGGATTAAGAGTGAAAAGGGACCTTATAGGTCATCTGGTTCAACCCCATTATTTCATGTGTGAGAGAACTGAGGCCCAAGTTAAATGGCTTGTTCAAATTCACACAGGCTGTATCAATCAATCAATCAATCAAGTATTTATTAAGTACCTATTAAGTGTCAGACTCTGAGCTAGGCATAGGGGGTATAAATGTAACCCCTGTCCCAAAATCCATCCGAGCCTTCATCTCCATCAATAAAGAGAGAGTTCCATACCAACGGGCTTGGGGACAAGGGTTACAAAAGTAAAGAATGAAACAATACCTACTTGCAATGAAATTCTAATGAGGGAAACAAGTACATGTAAAAATATGCACAGTCTAAAGTTAATAAATATATACATGTAAATTACATACATACACGCACATAAATATACATATATATACATATATATACATATATATACATATATATATATATATGTATGTATATGCTTACTGACAGACAAACTCACATGTACCATCCCCAAAATGGTGCCGGACTGTGTCTTCAACAAAGAGAGGCAATTGACGAAGGGACAGGCAAGGATGGAGTGGATTCTAGTCATTGGGGATAGCTAGTGCAAAGGTGTGGCCATGACAGATGACGTATTTTGAGAGAGAAATCAAGAATAAAGAATAGAAGGGAGCAGGCAGGCCATTCCAAAAGATATCTTACAGCCCATCATGCCTGTTGCTACACATGCATCATTTGCAGTAGAAACTTAAGCTTCTTGAGGGCAACAATTATTTCATTTTTGTCTTTGTTTTCCCACTGAGCCCAATAAGTGTTGATTAATTGATCGGTTGCTTCTGTGGTACAGCACTAGTTAAAGCTTTATTTGTTGTATTGAAGCAGAAAATTTCTGGGTCAAGTCTATACCCTGTCTTGGTCATCAACCAACAGGTTAGAGCAGCCAGGAGCAAGTTCTGTGCACTCCAGCTGGTGGGGAGCCGGGCCAGGTGGCTGGCCCTCCTCTGCTGTTGACTGTATACTCTGGCCTCCGTTAATGGCCGTAAGTTCTGTTTTTGGTTTGAATTTGCCTGTATCAACAGTAACCCTGCTCCTTTCTAGCTAAAGAAGCCAAAACATCATGTTGTTTTTATTTTTTGTTCCAGCTCAAACACCACCGTTAGAGCCTCGTGCCAGCTGACAGATGCCACAATACAAACTGGGTGAGGATTTGGACTACCCAAGGCGGAGAAAAGAAAACTGAAGCCCGGGAGGAACTTTGGAGATGGTCCCATCCACGCCTCTTATTTTAAAGATGAGGAAAGTGAGGCTTAAAGTGGCCTTAAGGCTATTTTTTTTTTTTAATCACAGAAAGGAAGATTCATTAATAAATTCATGAATAAGACTTCACTTTATGATTTTGAAAAAAATACAATCATTTGTTATTTCAAGCAAGATCTTAAGCCTTAATTCAAAATGTAAAAACATTAAGAGCCTCTGTCCTTGTGAAATTTTGATGTACTCATTCTTTATTAGGAAGTTTTACTGATCTTGGATTAAACTATGAACCAAATTTGTGGAAAAAGATTAAGTCCCAAACCATCACACTTAGAAAAATATTATATTATTCCTTTGTTCTCTCAGGCGGGTATAGAAGCTAGCTACTCTAATTGAAGCAAACAAATGGTTAGAGTTAACAAAAGAAATGTAAACAATACATTAATTAATGACTTTCTTAAGAAGGATTCCCTACTTCAGACAATAATCCACATCCCTCTTACAATTTTAATTTTGACATATGCAGCACTAATGTATTACCTATTACTTCCTGATAAGTGCTTCAATGATCTAGACTGTTTTGCAGAAAGGCAGTTAGGTGGCAAAGTAGATAGAGTGCCAGGCCTGGAGTCGGGAAGACAGACTCAGACATTCGTCACATGACCCTGGGCAAGTCACTCAACTCTTTTTGAGGCCTCACAGTTATTGAGTGGCAGAAGTAAGATTTGAACCCAGGTCTCCTGACTTCCAATTCATCACATTTTCCATTTCATGATAGCCTTCATGTTATTCAGCTGTTCTTCAGTTATTCAGCTGACTCTTCATGACCCCATTTGGGGTAGTCTTGGAAAAGATAATAGAGTAGTTTGCCATTTCCTTCTTCAGCTCATTTAACAGATGAGGAAACTGAGGCAAACAGGGTGAAGTGATTTGCTCACAGCTAGTAAGTGTCTGAGGCTGGATTTGAACTCAGGTCTTCAGACTCTAGGCTTGGCACTTTATTGCTCCACCTAGCTGCACCAATACACAGAGACAAATGAATTAGGATGCCTACTTAACATTTATTTGGTGCTTTTCTTTCAAGTTTCAATAGTTCCTGGCAACAGAAGGCATTTAGTAAATGTTTATTGATGGATTGCTTATTGATTTTAACCAACTCCTTAGGAGGCAGGTAATAAATACTCTTTTTATCTGTCAATCAACAAGCATTTGTTGGATACCTACTATGGCCCAGCTGCCGAGCTAAGCAGTGGGGATACAAAGAAAGACAAGAGACAGTTTGTGCCCTCAAAGAGCTCACCGTCTACTAGGGGAGATAACACGAAATAATTATGTACGAAGAAACTATGTACAAGATAAACTGGAAATAATCAGCAGAGGAAAGGCACTGAAATTGAGGGGCTCAGGAAAGGTTTTTTGTAGAAGATGCCAGCTGTAGGGCCTTGGGGAAAGCATTTGATCTCATCTGTACAATGTTGCGTTGGCTATGTTCTTGATGCGTACTTGGTGATGATTTCTAAGATTCCATCCAGATGAAGAATTCCGTGACTGTGGAGACAGCACTGGATTAGGAATCATACTACTTAGGTTTGAGTTCTGTTGTTCCAGTCACGTCTGACTCTTTGTGACCTGATTTGGGGTTTTTCCTGGCAAAGATTCTGGAGAGGTTTTCGATTTCCTTCGGCAGCTCATTTTACAGATGAGGAAACTGAGGCAAGCAGGGTGAAGTAACTTGCCTAGAGTCACACAGCTAATAAGTGCTTGAGGCCCAATTTGAATTTAGGTCTTCCTGACTCCGTACCTGGCCCTCTATCCACTGCACCACCTAGCGTCCCTGAGCTCTGGTTCTACCATTTACTATGTGATTGTGGAAAATTGACAGGCGACTTCTCTGAGCCCATTTCCTCATCTGTAAAATGGGAATAATAACTACCCGACTGAATGGGTTGTTGTGAGGCTTAAATGAGATACTATGAGTACATTGCTTTGTTGGCTTGTGGTTTCTAAGCTTGATGTCTGGTGTTGGGATGGGGAAGTATAATCCAGTGTAAACCTCTGTGTCTGAGTATGGGTGCGTGGACATGTAGGTTTGATTTTAGAAGGTAAAATTATTTCTAGAAACTAATTTGGATGAGCCTTGCCCATTTAAGTTACATGAAATTCCTCTGAAAAAAAATCCAAATGCATTTGAATTCTTGTGTAATACAGAAGTAGCCTTTGTCTTCCCAAGTAATTCATATGTGTGTTTTATTCAGTGGTTCAGTCTTAAAAGCAGTCTATTGGCTGGTTTAATGGTAGGTTGCTTAAATCTCTCTGTGTGTCTGTCTCAGGAACCTGTCAGCAAATTGTTCATTTGCATCTGCGGAAGAGAGTTTATACATCACGAGTTTCCTATACTCACAAAATTCCAGGGCATGCCCTCCCATTCCCTACCTCCCGCCCCCCATCCAGCACACAAAGACCCCAGGCTTCAGAGGACTAGGAAGCCCCCCAGTGCTTTGCAGAAGTCCCGTTGCTGTGTTTCACTGGCATCGAAGGCATCCCTAGAAGACAGGGAGATTTTCGTCAGGTGACTTCTTTGTGTTAATCCTTAAACAGTTGTTGCCCTCAAGCAGCTCACACTGCTGAGGTCATGGGACCATAGGCCTAGAGTTGGAAGAGACCTTTGAGGAAATTGACTTCAGCACCTTCATTTTAGAAATGAGGGAAGGGTAGTGCACTAGTTAGTGCACTAGATAGAGTATCGGGCCTGGAGTCAGGAAGACTCCTCTTCCTGAGTTCAAATCTGGCCTCAGACACTTACTAGCTGTGTGACCCTGGGCAAATCACTTCACCCTGTTTGCCTCAGTTTCTTCATCTGTAAAATGAGCTGGAGAAGGAAACAAAAAACCACTCCGGTATCTTTGCCAAAAAACCCCCCAAAACCCGAATGGGGTCATGAAGAGTTGGACGTGATTGAAATGATCAAACAACAAAAATACTATGTCACAGAAAGACTAAGTGAATTGCCTGGTCACTCAGACAGCTAGTAAGTGTCTGAGTGGGATTTGAACCCAGGTACTCCTGACGGCAAGTCCAGTTCCCTTTCCATTACACTATACTGCATCTGGAGGGAGTTCTAAGATTTTGGACCCATAATAACCAATAGATTCTTCTGGGTATTTAAGTGAACATTTGGTGAAATCAGCTCTCAGATTCTCTACAGTTTATAGAGATGACTTTCATTTGAGCAGTATCTGATCATCTTATCACCCTTCATTTAAATGATTCCTGAGCTGGATTACGGAGCCAGAGTGAGGTCATACCTGGTTAGCCATAGACTAGCTTTTCATCTCTCTTGTTGGGTAAATAAAAGGCATTGCCCACATTTAATACAAGCCTTTTTTCCTTATCCCCAAACACTGGAACATTTACCTTTAATTTTTTTTTTTTAACACTGCCCACATTGTAAAGGGGCTCATCTGATGGGCTCTAAATCTCTTTGGCTGCTTGAGAATTAGACCAAGATTTCCTTGTCTCCCCTTCCTATCACATACTCCTCTGTTCAAAAGGGTTAGCAACAGCTGGATGATCCAGCCATCCGTGGGAAACTTGGAAATTGCTAAAGACTGGGATTGGTAGCAATGAATGTGTGAAATATTACATCGGGCCCCTGAACAGAAAGCCTTTTGGAAGCCCAGATGATGGGAGAAGGCCTTCCCATGGCATGAAGAAAATGCCCTTGATCAGGAGGGGAGTATTCTTGCATCTAGGAGGGGAACTGTAAACTCAGCTCTCAACTTGGCACCTGAGGTGTTAAAGTCGCATTGACACCGTAACCCAGGAATCGTGGGAAGAACCCAGTATTGCTGGAAAGCACACTTCATCATGGTGAGAATAATCAGACAAAGTTGTTTTTGGCTCTGCCAAGTATGTCCTGGGATTGTGGCTAACTTCAGAAAGAGATAAGCAAATCTCCCTGCTGTTCAAGCCCTCAACTTCCTGTAGTTTCATGAAGTTATCACACTATAGTATTATCCAGTATCCATTGTTAGGATAATGATAATTGAAATCATATCTCATATTTACATTGTCCTTTACAAAATATTTTTCCTCACAACACTTCCTATGAGTTAGGCAGGATGTGTATTATTAACCCCACTTTATAGATGAGTAAACTGAAGCTTAGCTAACTGGTACAGTGGATAGCCCACCAGGCCTGGACTCAGGAAGACCTGAGTTCAAATCCATCCTCAGACATTTATGAGCTGTGTGACCCTGGGCAAGTCACATAGCCCTGTTTGCCTCAGTTTCTTCATCTGTTAAAATGAGCTAGAGAAGGAACTGGCAAACCTCTCCAGCCAAGAAGATCCTAGTTGGGGTCATGAAGAGTCAGACATGACTGAACAGCAATAACAACTTAGTGAGATAAGTTAAGGCCAAATTCATGCTCATGTTGATCTTAACCACTTTCCTAGCTTCCCATATGCATGTGCTCACCCCTGAGAGCTGTATTTTCTTGTGTCGGGTTCACAACTGTGCCATTCAAGTATGTAACACCTGAGAGGGCTCTTTCATCATTGTTCCCTGAACACTAATAGATATCACCATGTGGACAGAACCGGGACTCGTCCCTCCTCAGGATCAGAAGCATAGGCGGGGCACGTGGACCTAGGTGTGCCTCCCCTTAGCTCCCACTGTCCTACATTCATAACTCAGGATTCATGCTCCCTATTCTAGGATTTCTGGATAACTAGCTACCAAAGTTTCCATCCAGGACCACCCTCACTCTTCCAATACCCAGTCACAACTCTACACAAGAATACTTTTATTCATTCCCACTGATTCAACAATTTTACTTCTACTTTTATCCTCTCTCTCTCTCTCTCTCTCTCTCTCTCTCGTTTCCTCTCTTGGCCCATTAGATCATGAGCTCCTTGAGGGCAGAGACTGTCTTTTACCTCTTTTTTATGCCCAGAGCTTTAGCACAGTTCCTGGCACATAGTAAGCACTTAAAAAATGTTTATTGACTGACATTGCTCTCTACCATTGACACCAATCAATGCT